AGCCTGTGTAGGACTACGACCAGTCCATCAGTATATCAGGTCGGCCCGATATCCTTTTTCTCTGGTCCGATCTGGCAGCCTGGTTAGTGGTACCTCTGAGACTCACAACTCAGAGGTTTTTGCCTGTCCAGCTACTTCAGCATTAGTATCTGTTGCTTAGATCTAGCCTTTATAGTAGTACTGTTGAAAATCTGTATTATCTCTCTACTCAGGTCTTTCCAAATAGGCTTCTTGTTTCCCAATTTCTACAGATTTACATGGCCACAAGGACTTATCTTAAGTTTGCACCACCCGATTTGTTAGTTTGCATTCTTCTGTATAACAAGTTACACAGATGCCCCATGACCTGCCAGTCATGCTGGTGCAACTATAATTACAGGTATCTTAACCCAATCGTTAGGAACAGTTGTCGTAATACCAGATTACATAGATGATTATTCAAATTTTCACTGTTGATAGATTTAAACACCTAACCTACCACTTGGGGGGTTGACAACCTGACTACTTCACTAGGTCGCCACACCCCATTAAATTAATATTTATAAATTCACAATTTTGATTAACTAACTAAAATATATAATTATTAGTTCTGAGTTAATAATGGTTTTCTTATTTTAGTTTGAGAATATACCAAATTAGAAAATTGTATTCTAGAATGATCTACAAGCCAATTTTTGAATTTGATTGGCTCTTACATGTCTTTTATTTCTTAAAAATCATGCATTCAAAAAAAATTTTTTTTGATAGTTATTAGAATTTAACAAGTTTTAAATATTATTTCAAAGTATATATTTTAATTATCTCAAATAATTTTGTATAATAAACTCTTTTGATCAAAGTAAATAAGTTATTAAAATAGATATTTATTTTGTATAAAAAGTTTAGAATTGTTGTTAGTTAACTTAAAAACATTTTAAAATTTTAGTATTATATTAGAAGTTTTTAATTTATTTACATTATAATAACCTTTCTAGTTTAATTTAATTGTAAATATATAGATATTAGAAACAATTCATAAAAAGAACACATAACATTCAATATAGCTTTAATTGCAAGTTAATATATGGATGAGTTATATACAGTAATAATATATACAGGTAATATTGCTGTATTGTTTAATTGTATAAATTAAATATTTGTATTAAATAATTGGTAACAGTTGTAATATTAATGGAATATACAAGACCCAAAAGGTCATCTTAATACTCAAAAAAAAAAAAAATTAATAGAATATACAATAGTTACTATTTAGAATATTTAATAAAAGTAAACCTTTGCTTATAATTTTGCTAATACTATAATAATAAGTTATTTTGTATATAAGATTTTTGATCAATTTGATTGGTTAATGTCATGTGTCATAAAATCTAGAATCTTCTGATCAACATCTTTATATCATAAAAGGTACAATCATCAATTTTTGATATATTTTCGAACTGTATTTGGAACATTCCTACCTGTAAATTGGCTATGATCACGTCTCGGAAAAAATCTTGTGGGTGAGCTATGGGGTAGTGATACAAATCAAAATTGAAATTAATCAATTAGTTGGTTAGTTGACAACTAATCGACCGAACTTTTTAGACACCAACTAATTGATTAATCGATTAGTTGCAACTAATCGACTAAAGAATTAATTGATTAGTTGCAAAGAATCGATTGAAAAATTATTTATTTACTTAATGAATTAGTTGCAACTAATCGATTAATCGATTAATCGATTAGTTGCAACTTATCGATTAGTTGCAACCAACTGAAAAAATAATGACTAACTAATCGATTGGAAAAATTTTGCCGATTTGTAACACTACTACGGGGTTTCTTGGTGCAGTGTTGTCACGGGACACGGACGCAGACAGCAGACAGTCCAGGACGGGACGTCCCGAGCATGTCCGCCAATATTTTTTGTCCCAGACAATCAAAATTATAATAAGAACAGCCGTGTTAGCCAATCAGGTTGTTCGAAAACTATATGACATGGAACATTGTCCGGGACTGTCCGTGTCCGTGCAATTTTGACGGGACAATGTCCGCATACAACACTGCCTTGGTGTTACTATGCTATGTAACGTTAATATTTTAATTTTTAAACCAAATACTGCGTAAAATAAAGTTTGATAATATTAAAGATCTTCAGTTTTGAACAGGGTACCAGTACGTAATCGTACGTCTAATCATCAATACGTGGCGTAAAATTTTTCCGCCACTATTTTTGTTGTGCGGCACCTGTCGTTATGTTCGTAAATAGTGTGTGTAGCGATAGCTGCAAACAATTTTTATTTGCCGCACAATAAACTAGTTAAAAATTGTAAAAATTGAATTTTTTGGGGGAGTATCATTTTTTGGGATTTTTAGCAGGCATACCAAATAATTTATTGTAGTGGAAAATTAATTGCAATTATTTGACTACAATTAATTAATTGGTGGCGTAGCCACAATTAGTCAATTAATTGCAATTATCATTACGTATTATGAAAAATTACATCACATTTACGGCAATGACAAAGCTTGTAAAAGCACATATCGATATATCAAAATAGTATATACAAAATTTTCACTTTCACATGTGTTTCAATGAGTGTAAAAGGGATAAACAAATATTATTGCGAGGCCTTTTTTGAACCTATAACTGATGGCAAGCATCAATGTAATTTGTGTCCTCCTGGATCGCAGTTAATCTCACAAAAAAAAGGAGCTGGTTACACAAATTTAATGAACCATTTAGAGGCTAAGCACGAAAATTTCAAGTTTATTTACCAACAACGTGCCGAATGTGCTAGCTCTTCCATGCCAAATAATGACATACTTAATTATAGCACAAATGTGCATAATATTTTTAACTGGATATGTCTTATTGTAAAGTGCCGAATTCCATTTAATGCATGTGAAAATCCAGATTTTATTGCACATACTGGTCTTTCAAAATTAGATACTTCTACGGTTAGCAAGTATTTTAATAGTTTAGCAGATATTGTACGAGAAAAAATAAAAAATATTTTACCTGAAAAGATTGGAATTATGTTTGATAGATGGACAAGTAACAGAATTCATTTTGTTGGATTATTTGGCATTTATCAAACTGTACATAAATCCAGAAATTTAGTTTTACTAGGATTTTCGCCATTCGAAGATCGTACTACTCAGAGTGCAGATGCACATATCAAGTTTTTTGAAGATGTTTTAGAATCGTATAATAAAAGTGTTAAAAATATCTTGTTTATTTCAGGAGATAATTGTAGCACTAACAAAAAAATAGCTACTGATTTGGATCTTCCGCTTGTAGGATGTGCATCACATCGTCTAAATTTAGCAGTTAATGATCTTATTAATTCTTCAACTGCTATTGTAAATCAAATTCGTACAATTGTAATTATGATGCGAACATATAAAAATCGTGGAAGGCTTGCAAAAGTGACATCATTAAAACCTAAATTAGATAATGCAACCCGTTGGATGAGTGCATTAAAAATGATTGAACGATGTAAAGAACTTCTTCCTTACATTACACAGGCTAATGGATTTTCAGGTTTATATAATTTTATTTATTTTATTGTTTTTTTTATTTTATTTTTTTATTTTATTTATTTTTTATTTGTTTTTTATTTTTTAGGTCGTGATATTTTGTTAATCGAACAATTAAATTTAAATGAAGTTGATGATTTTATTAATCAACTTAAATACTTTTCAGAAGCGACCAATGATTTGCAAAGTGAATCAATAAATCTAGATGATGTTCGTGCATATTTTGATCTGTTAGTTGAAGAACGTCCAGAATTAGAAAATCGATTAGGGAGAAATGCATCAATAATTCATGATCCTTTATTTGAAATGGCTGTGATCAAAGTCTTGCGCAAGCAAGAAACTATACTAACATTCACTGAAAAACAAAAACTTCAATCATTTATTGTAGAACAAAATGTACAACCAATAATTGAAGAAGGACCTATGACTATGAAAGAACGGGTTGCAAAAAAACGTAAAATAGAAGAATCAAAATACTTGGATATGAATATTATTCCTCCTACATCTAATGCAGTAGAACGGTTGTTTTCAATTGTTAAATATTATTATACGGATTGGAGAAAATCTCTTGATCCGCATACTTTAGAAAATCTTTTGCTTCTAAGAATGAATGACAAAATATGGTCAATTCAAGATATCAACCAAATTAAGAAATAAATACGGAACTTTGATTTCTAGTTTTAGCAACTGCATATGTGAACGATAATCAATTTTTTAAAGTATTATTTTATATGTATGATTATGTAAAACCTGTATTATCAGGGTACTCTACGGGGTATCGGTTTAGTTAAAGACAATTGAATTTAATTGCAATTAATTGCAATTATTTCGTCATTAATTGGGTTTCAATTAATTTTGTCACGTAATATACAATTGCAATCAATTAAAAATTATGACAAAATTGATTGCAATTAATTTTTCGGTAGGCCTGATTTTTAGAATTGAGTGCAAGTTTTAAACCGGTTTTATCCTTCATATCTGATATGTTAAAACCAGTAAAAACTGGCTTAACATTCAATAGAAATATGTACCAACTTCAGTCGCGACAATTATTTTAAAGGATAATCTAGAATTTAGATGTCCTTTTCTAGGTTGCAGCAGTAAAAATATGTATGTACATACATTTCATCAGTCTAATCGATAAAAGTGTACATATAATATTTTCAATGTAATTCCTAAGATATTTAGGTTATAGTGTACGCCAATCATTAATAATTTTCGCTTTAATTTTTTTTCCAGTTTTGAGTTTGCATAGTATATAAGCCATAAACTTGTATAAAAATGTTTCATTCACGAATGTGAGGCTGTGCTATGGCAGGATTTACAAAAATAGCTAAATTGAAAAAAACCGTTCATTGAAAGTGGCTGATCTATCACCTTTTTTAGCCATATGTTTAATTGTCAACACATCTTTATATTGATGGTCGTTGGATAAAAAATGATTAGTTAAAAACGCTTCTCCCATTTTACATTTCACAATGACTACGTCCGATATCAATACCGATACAACCACAATTCATACCAATTTTTTAAGAAAAACATCCATTCCTAGGTCAGCATCTAATTCTAGCATTAGTAGTACTGAAAAGGATGCTCTCCAAACTCCAAGGAGAATTCTACTTCTTGGTAAATTTTTTTTTTAGATTGTTAGTGTTGCAGTAGAAATCCAAATTTTTGTAGATCATTTGTGGTTTAAATTTGAAGCAAAACTGAACAAAATGTATAGATTTTGAAAATAGCTTTGCCCGTAACATTAATAGTGTTATATCTATATTAATTACATCAAATTGGGTTATTATCTTAATCCAGCTATCGGCTCCATGGGTGACGTTCTTCCTTTCATAAATTTGGGAGTGGGTTTCTCTCGTCGTGGGCATGAGGTTATAGTTGCTGCTAATTCGCGATTTAAAGAATTGATCGAAAAGAAAGGGTTTGAGTTTAGGGAAATAAAGGTATTATCTCAATAAATCAATATTAATGCCTGCACCATAGATTCGTCAAATTATTAACAATTTTTGGAATTTTTTCTTTCTATAGTGGGATATGATACACGAATGGGTTGGTTCTTGTTCTGTTTTGTGACTTTACTTGATTTTCACTAATTGATTGTATCAATTTTTTCTATTCAGGAACATACCGATGCTGGTAAGGCATCCGTCTTCGGTTTAAATTTAACTAACTCTGACACTAAATTGTCCGTAATTTTTTGTAATAGGGAAACGAATGGTTAGATATTCTTCAAATTCAATATTAGGGGTTCCATTCACATTTTCATTTTTGAAGCAAGGTTTTAAAAAATCATATGGGTGAGTTTTAGATATTTCAACAGTCTATTTTGTTCTTTTTTCATTATATTTATCCAAATATTATTTCTTCATTAAATTTAAAAAGGGATGCTGAGAATGCCTTGCGAGACGTTGATTTTGTATTACTTGGTACAGGTTCAACATATATGTATCCAGAGGTAATTAAAGAATCGGTTCGATGCAAAAGAAATAATAATAATAACTCATCTCAATAAAATTACAATTGTACAGTGTATAATAAGAAATATTCCTGTTGCATACATTATGTTTTATCCTTACGCGAGTAGTAAGAATTATACAGGGGTTGGTATCATTTGGCAAAATGTTATTTATCTTTCAGGTGTTTTTATTTACAATCATCCATTTTTAAGGCCGTTTATGGCCGATCTTTCGATTCTTTACAATGGTTACCGTTTGAACTTAATGTCACCATATGGAAAACAGTAGTATGCTTATCGATTGTTAATTTTAAATGTTTTTTTCTTGAACTATTATATTAGTTATTAATAATTTTTAATACATAAATTTATAGGATGTTTTTGCTGCTCGCTGGTCTGATGTCGGTCTTTTACCTGTAAGAACTTTGAACCTTTGTCTCATTGCTATTTAAATGGTGACGGCTCAAGGAGTATTTATTTTATATTCCTTTAAACTTATTCTCAGATTTACAATCAAAGACTGACAGAACTTGGTCTACCGACTGTAGAAAGGTATATATAACTAATTACGGCATTTTCCTTGTCTATATTAAAATGATAGTTATCAAAATTTGTCTTTACATAATACAGACTTCCATGGTTACCAGGTGGTGCTTTCGAGGCAAATAAGATTCCTGTATTACATGTCTCAAACAAAAACTTGATTAAAATTCCACCAAACCCGTAAGTTTAATATAAGTATAAAATTGGTCTAATTTATTCTAATCGATATTAAATGTTAATATATTTTTGACTTTGAAATTTTATAGAAATAACCCTATGGAAAAGCAATTTGATTATCCATTTTTAAGTATTAATGAAGAATTAGAATATTTTGATCCACCATCGGAATTGGTATTTATTAAACTCATATTCTAAAATACAAAGTACTGCTTTAATTCCAGCCACTGACCTATTTATTTATTTTTATTATTATTATTTTGTTTTTATATATTTAAGGTTGATTTTTTACGTAAAGGAAGAAAACCGATCTATTTTGGTTACGGATCAATGCATAGTTTTAGTGATGCAGATAGCAGAGTACGTTTGTGGATAGAAGTTATGAAAAAGCTTCCAGTTAATCAGCGAGCTTTGTTCTCTGGAGTGTCCACGTATGTTTCCTTCAAGTATATTTTCTTTTAAAATAAAATAACGTTAATCAACATACTTGACATAATTTAGGGTCAAAAATTCAGAATTGGATAAATTCATTCAGGCTGGTAGAGTATTTCTTGTTGGGCACGTTCCTCATTCGTGGCTATTTCGTTATGTTGCATGTGTTGTGCATCATGCAGGCGCAGGAACGACACATACTGTCGTAAGAGCTGGTGTTCCCTCAATTACGGTTAGTATATAAAACTATGTTTAATAAATAATATCATTGCTAATTTATGACTTTATTTTTCTAGGTTCCGCACTTTGCAGACCAACCGTGGTGGGCATCTATATTGCATCGACATGGTCTTTCAGTAAATGCTGGTATTCCGGCAAGTACTATCACAGCTGACAAACTCTACAGAGCACTGCTTGACACATTGACAGATAAAGAGTTGATAGAAAGAGCTGCGGAAATGGGTTTAAAAGTTAGAAAAAGCAAAGCGCATTGTCCGGTGGCTAAAATCGTTAAATATGTAGAGAATTATTGGGATAGTATGAATTGGGACGATCTTTCTTTAGAAGGTGATGGAAGCAAAAGTTCTGCGAGTTCGGAAAGTTTCTAATTAAATTAAGCTTATTTTATCAATTATAGATTATATATTATTTAAAAGAAATTAAAAATAGTGTACATTCTATTGTTAGCCTATATAGTTATATAGTTTATCTTCTAATTATTTAGACCTATTATTACTTAAAAAATCAATCCTGTATATTTACCAATTTCTAATCATACTTGTGGTTTACTTTGAAATGATATATATATTTTATAGCATCATAATGTTTAGAAACTGATACGTATAAATAAAGTCTTCTGATATCATATATCGGATTGGCTTTACTAAATTACGCCAGTGGCATTCAACACCATAGTTGCTATATCTCAAAAACTGGCTAATTAGTAGTTGATGCTATTTACCATCCCAAAAAATCCTTCTAACCTTAATTTAGTCTCTACGTAGTCCTACGTACTCCTAAATCTTAATACTAAATGACTATAAAATAAATATATATATTGATTTAGAATTACGTACTACATACATAATTCAAAAAATATGTATACGTACTGTAAATTATTTATATAAAAGCAAAACTAAAATTTTAAGAGTAATGTGACAGATCATTCCCAGACTAATTTATCCAGCCTTACTAGAATAGATTAGGTGGCGGTGATAGGTAATCCTTACCAGAATTTCCTTATGTCAAGAAAATCCCGAGCTGACGGCCAAAAAAATATGGGCCAACAATTCCCTATATATTTAACATTACAAATTGCGTCCTACGTATTAGAGATTGGACCTCTTATCCATTAGTGATTTGAACCGGTTGGCCTATAATCGGTTAACCGACCAGAACCGAATAAATTTCGGGTAACCGGTTGAATAAATTCTTAATCGGTGACCCGTGCAACCGGTTGAGATCAGAATGAGTAAAGTTCTGAAAAAAAAAAGACAAGCAAGATGGAGACAAAATTTTGCGTAAAGGTTCAAGATTTTCTGAAGGTAAATTATTAAGTAATCTTAACTGGTGCAATTGATTAACATAAAATATTTCGGTTCGGTTAACCAATTGTGAAAATTTTCTTGGTTCAAATTATCATAAATTCATATAAATAAAATCCAAAAATTTCCGGGTCCCTGAACAGCAGGGACAGTGTCTCTTATGTAGATCATTGTTTAACGTTACACAACTTATATATATTTTTTTATATTATTTTAAAGTACTTTGAACATCTTGTATTACTTGCTTGCATAATAATCTAAGTGCCAATAGGTTACTAAGCGAACTTGAAGCTTTTGTACTATAGAAAGAAAATATCGATTGAATCCATTTGAATTCAATGACCTTAAGTTTATAATCAAAATGATAGATGTTAAAAAATGCTTAGAATGTAAAACTATTGTTTTCCAAAGGTTTTGCTAGTTAGGTGCCAAAATATGGTAAGAAGTTGTAACTAAAGGTTTGATAAGAGAATCATGACATGACAAGATAATACTTTGTAGTTCTTGTTATATGAAATATGTAGTAAATCTTATTAAAAGAAGAAAAAAATTACTAATAAAAACATTGTAAAGAAATTAAGATAGATATTAAAGAAACAGAAGAAACAGACACCTTGAGCAATAGTTTTAAGCTTGTTGAAGTTATAAGGTCTATAACAAAAATTTTTTACAATAGAGAAGTTAAAAAAAAACAAAAACCTATTTATAAATTTGATAAATTACAAAGGTTACTTGAGGATCAAAATTCTAATTTAATTTATTTTTTTGATCAATTGTATTTAGCAGCATGCTTATCAAAATGTAACAATTAAACTATGAAGCATATGAAAAAAAATTATGGTATTTATTTGTTATCTTTTTATTTTGTTAAATAATATACAAATTAATATCTTTAAGTCAGATTTTGCATTTTATTTAGTTTTAGTTAAAACAAGTAATGAAGACTTAAATACAATGACAAATATTAGTATTACTATAATATTAAGAACAGTAAATAGAAAAAAAAAAAGATATCAGAAATGCATAAAGAATATGTTAAAGATGATTTTATAGAGCATTTAAACAATACTCTTATACCTAATATTAATGATTGCTATAAGATTTACATTAATAACAACTCTGTATTACTGCTACTTTTTTACTAACTTATATGATAACAATTATAATAAATCTATACTTAATATTAGTGATACCATGTAATCAAGTTCTTAATCCTAAAATTGTAAATAGAAAATTAATTATAAGAAATATAAATAAGCATTTTATTATAAATCTTGATGTTTTTTATTATAAGTATATAAAAAATTGTATAAAAGAAGAATATACTAACATCAAGCTATTAGAAAAACTTACTTTATATAGCTATGATAATAGATTGGCAAAAAAAAAAATTGAGAGGGGTGTGGTGATCTAGTAAAGTAGTCAGGTTGTCAACCCTCAAGTGGTAGGTTGGATGTTTAAATTTTATCAATAGTGAAAATTTGGATAGTCATCTATATAATATTCATATTATAACAACTGTTATTAATGATTGGATTAGGATATCTGTAATGACAGTCACACCAGCATGACTGGCAAGTCATAGGGCATCTGTATAAGTATGACATTACACAAAAGAATGCAAACTGCCAAATTAGATGATACAAACACTAAATAAGTTCTTGTGGCTATATAAATTCATTGAAATTAGGTAACAAGAAGTCTATTTGAGAAGACCTAAGTAGAGAGATAGCTGGATCTTTGATGACCTTACTGTAAAGGCTAGACTAAAAAATAAATATCAAGGTCATAGTATCCAGTTATAGTAGCCAAGCAGGCAAGAACCTCTGAATTGGGAGTCTTAGAAATACCACCAACTAGGCTGCTAAAACAAACTAAAAGAAAAGATTATTAGGCTGAACTAATATACCAATGGACTAATCATAATCCTACATAGACTATCTGGATTAGAAGTTTGGTTAAAAGGCAGATGAAAAGGCAGAGGTATACTAAAGTATCAGAGTTATGCTGTAAAGTAGATGTTGAGGTTTAAGTAAACTTTATAAGAGCATAGCAGTTTAATGCTTAAGCTCTGACCACAAGTGTTAGTTCTGCTATAGCGATACTTAGATTAGCTATAAAAATGAATACAAAAAGCTCTAGAGGGTTTATCTCAAGGATAAATTAGTCTTAAGGTTGAGATGATGATCTGGACATCTGAGTATAATCCAGTAAGTTAATACAGATTACAGATTCAGAGGGTTTAAAGTAGAATATTCAAGCAAGAGTGTTAGATACAGCAATTGGTAGGGAATCTTCAGGTGAACTTCTTAAATAGGTAATATAGAAAAGTTATATATATAGCCAATTGTATGCTCTTCTGTAATGGTTCATTGAACCACAATACCAATAAATGATTAATAAAAATCAAAAACCAAAAAGATCACCTTAACAAAAAAAAAAAAAAAGAAAAGAAAAGTAAATAACATATTGTTATAAGTAAAAGCCTTCTTAATTTTTACACTTTAATGATGACATAACATAAAGAATCTCTTACAGATATATGTAGTATCTAAAAAGAAAGTATAGTTTCTGTTAAATATTGTTAAGAAACTATACTCTTCTCTGAGGCAGTTCGAGAAAGGTAATGCAATACTAATAAATTTACTTTATTTTACTAAGAAGAGATAAACCTTGCTTATAGAAATTATCCTAGAAAAAAAGTATCAATACAGTTTATTGTCAAAAACTATTTATTAAAGTAATAATAAGAAAGACTATTCTTAGGTTTCTGTTTTTAAAGAATCCCAAAATATGTTTATAATATTAAAGAGAAGAGGAGTGTTTGTTGCTTAATCACACTTGAAAAATTTAGCAGAATTTATATATCTGTAAGCTAAGTGACTAAGTGGCCAAGTAACTAAGCAATAAGTAACTAAGCAACTAAGCATTAAGTAACTAAGTGACTAAGTGACTAAGCGACTAATTGATTACTAAGCAACTGAAAGGTTCTAGCAACTAATGACTAATGATTACTAAACAACTAATTACTAAGTGACTAAGTGATTAAGTGACTAAGTGATTACTAATTGACCAGAAAGTTCTAGTAACTATTAGTAATAATAATAATAATACAATAATGAAATAACTAATACTAAATAATAATAATAATAAAATAATAATAATTTATTCTATAACATTTTTATCCTCTTTAAAAATTTATTTTGTAAATTCTATGTTCTAATCAATTTGAGAAATTGAGTTTACTTATCATCTAGCAACTTGATAATATGTATTGCAATAACATACTTCAATTGTAGGATTATTTCTTTTGATTGCAACTTGAGGACTTCATATATTTTGAAAGCACCTTTTTAAGTATCTTTTGCTCTTCTTGTTACCTGAGCACTTTAGATAAGGTCTTTAATCTCTAAAGAGTTATTGAACTTTGAAATTATTTGTTCTAGGTAATAGTAGGCTTCAATTTTTTGTTAAGTTTATGTCAAGTACATCTAGAAGTGGATAAGAACTTTAGGATTTGATTAACTTGTTTTTTTTATGTTCCTTCAAAAAAAGAATTGGTTATACTTCTAGTTGTTAGTACTGGTGTCTGTTTCAAATTATTTATTATTTAGATTAGATGGTTAGTATTATTACTTTTTAACTCTGTAGGTACTTTATTAGATGGAGTTTTGATTAGAGAAGGTTGTATTTCTTCTAATTATAAAAATTCATCGATATTGAATTCTACAAGGGCTTCTATTATAGGGTTTAAATTGATAACTTTTTATCACTCCAAAGAATAATATTTTGAGATGATATATCTAAGTAATTTTTAGATGCGAAGTTCTGTTTTCAGATTTGAAGAAAGTTGTTTAAAATGATTACTATTTCTGATTGTAGTTTTAAGAATTTTATTTCTAGAAAAATTTGTACAATTCAAGAGTATTTATATAAATTTCCAAGTATTACAATCTTCAAATAAATTGTAACATTGAAAAATTTGTATAATATTATTGTCCTTCAGTTTTAGAAATTTCTTCTAGAAATTTTAGTTATTTGATAAGAACAAAAAATTCTCATAT